TATGGGGAAATAAGCTTCTGACAAACAAAAGTACGAATTGAGATTTGGGTGTTACTTTAACAATAGGCCTACCAAGAACATATGGGGAAAGAAGCTTCTGACAAACAAAAGTACGATTTGAGATTTGGGTTATTTTTAACGGTAGGCCTACCAAGAACATATGGTGTGAAAAAGCTTTTGACAAACAAAAGTACGAATTGAGATTTGGGTGTTACTTTAACAATAGGCCTACCAAGAACATATGGGGAAAGAAGCTTCTGACAAACAAAAGTACGATTTGAGATTTGGGTTATTTTTAACGGTAGGCCTACCAAGAACATATGGTGTGAAAAAGCTTTTGACAAACAAAAGTACGAATTGAGATTTGGGTGTTACTTTAACAATAGGCCTACCAAGAACATATGGGGAAAGAAGCTTCTGACAAACAAAAGTACGATTTGAGATTTGGGTTATTTTTAACGGTAGGCCTACCAAGAACATATGGTGTGAAAAAGCTTTTGACAAACAAAAGTACAAATTAAGATTTGGGTGTTACTTTAACAATAGGCCTACCAAGAACGTATGGGGGAAGAAGCTTCTGACAAACAAAAGTACAAATTAAGATTTGGGTGTTACATTAACGGTAGGCCTACCAAGAACATATGGTGTGAATAAGCTTCTGAAAAACAAAAGTACGAATTAAGATTCTAGTTCTTACGTGTAAAACACAATCCAATTTTTCAGTAGCTTATTGTACCGAGACGCAAATAACAACGGCGAGCTTTGTCTGTGGCCTGCAACTTTAAACTGTGGAAGCTCTAGATCCTGTGATATACCTACAGAGTTTCCTTCCCGCCATTTATAGCGAATATCCGTCATCGTGTAGCCAACTGCAAGAGAAGTTTGACATCGAATTTATATATTTCGTATTTCTAGATAAAGTTATAAAGTCGTTTGTATGACAACAAACTACTCATAAATACTTATAAGTCACATTTGTTATCCGGAGATTATCATAGAATACTATAATGTTTCCAACTTCACTTAATCTCAATGTTTTATTCAGATTGTCATAGCGTCAGAGTTCATACGTTATTAATAACGTAAGATATAATATTTGATGCATCAACAAATGAAGAATTATTAAGACAGATAGTAGAAATTTCGAATGTTTTACAACTAAATAAAAAAGGAATTCCTGATCTATAATATGTTATATATTTAGTGTTTTACGAACTGAAGATATTTTAATGTGGTAAAATATTGTATGGATTTGTGTTAGATGGATTGAAGAGGTGTGGTAGAAGATGGTAAAATATTGCGGGGATTTGTGTTAGATGGATTGAAGAGGTGTGGTGGAAGATGGTAAAATATTGCGTGGATTTGTGTTAGATGGATTGAAGAGGTGTGGTGGAAGATGGTAAAATATTGCGTGGATTTATGTTAGATGGATTGAAGAGGTGTGGTAGAAGATGGTAAAATATTGCGTGGATTTGTGTTAGATGGATTGAAGAGGTGTGGTAGAAGATGGTAAAATATTGCGTGGATTTGTGTTAGATGGATTGAAGAGGTGTGGTGGAAGATGGTAAAATATTGCATGGATTTGTGTTAGGTGGATTGAAGAGGTGTGGTAGAAGATGGTAAAATATTGCATGGATTTATGTTAGATGGATTGAAGAGGTGTGGTGGAAGATGATAAAATATTGCGTGGATTTGTGTTAGATGGATTGAAGAGGTGTGGTGAAAGATGGTAAAATATTGCATGGATTTATGTTAGATGGATTGAAGAGTTTTTAGTGTGGTATCTTATGCTCCCATAATTTAAGTCTTTAAGCCAGAGCCCCCTAGTGTTAAAAATAGTCCCCCTAAATTTGAACTACGGGCCAAATGGAATCTACTCAGAAGCATTCGCCGTCACAGTAGTTTTTTCATAACAGCATCATGTCTCAAACCCCGAACCCTTCGATATGTAGCCCGACACATTAACTATTAAGCTATGCCTGGCCCCTTTTGTCATTAACATTATTGCGATATTAATGATCACGGAAATGCACCGACGGTTTTCTATTTACTATTTAAAAAAAATGGTGTAACGTTATCGCTGAAATAAAAATAAAATATTCTTGGGTCAAATAGTACGATTAATATTAGTTAGTACGTAATTTTTGAAATTTATCCAAGCGCAGGAACTCCATGTTAAATCCTGATGAAATCTCCTTAGCAACGAGACGTGTGAGAAACCTGACTGATCGATATTAAGCCAAGCTTGAAATACTGCAAGGTACTTGTTTTACAAAATGTGTCGAGAGAATATATATTGTCTCTTGTTGAGTAATGTTCCATTAAAACACATACAGTTTGATTTCGTGTTTTCTAGTTTGATAATCATTATTATGGTATTGTGAGATGAATCTTTCTTTTTTCATCAACTTTCTTTACAAACACAACAAAAAAAATTGAGGATTTCATCTTATCTCTTTACACAAAATAAATTATTTTCTAACGCATCATCCTCACTAGTGAAGAATTATGGTACTATTTATCACGTTGCTAATTGAGAGTTGACGTAGTTAAAAAATAAAATCATCGTATTGTTTCAAACTTGCGGTCGTGCTAATTTTATTAGTGGTGAGTATCAATCAAGATAGAAGAATTCACAGCTTTGGGCGATGATATTTTAGTATGAATGATTTATAAACCAACAATCAGATTAAATATTTCGCTGTTATATTATTTAATTAAAGAGTTCATTTTAGAATTTCCGAAAATATAATTCTAGAAGGTAAAGTTAAAAATATAACCTATGACATTCAGGCCTAATGCATTATTTGAGTGGCCGTACCCTCTATTTTGGACTGCAGTTTTGCCTGTTGAAGGCTCATCAGCCCAGCTTAGGCCAGTAAACCAATGAAATAGTCAGGTCACTTACAGTTGTGATACATATATCAGGTTTTTGAGATTAAGTCCGCTGTATAATATCGAATAATAAATTAGGCTTAATGCCATACTGTTAGAAGGTTAATTATTTGTCGATTTCCTCAATGTTCAATGCAGGCCTTTGTTTATGGGACTTAACATCCGTTATAACAATCCCAAGGACCAAACAACGTTCATACGTCTTGTAACGTCAACTAAGGTTTAACTAAATAAATGAACTTTTACAAAGATGCTTTAATCGAATCACAAGAGTCCCAGACGGATTTTCTGAGGAAGAATATTTGTAATACTTAACTTGTGGTATGAAAAACTTATCAAAAATGTAATGTTCTTTTTTTTTTTTTCGTTTCTATCGACACTCAAAATTATTTTCAGATGAATTTAATTACACGTCTTGAAAGGATTGCAAGGAACATGAACTCTCGAAGTGAAATACCTGAAGTAGACTTTACTAAACACAAGTCGATATATCATGAGATTAAAGCTTTCTTGGTGCTTCTGGGCCACCATATATTTTCCCATAAAAAAAACAACAACAAATTACAACAGCTGCGTAGAGCTTCGCGGATTGTCGTATGCTCTGGATAGCAAGAAGGCGTTATTCATCATTGTTTGTATTCTAGCTCAGAAAGGATCGATCTCGGCAAGCAAGAAACAAACCATACTTTTTAGTAGCAGGTAATTGTTAAACTTACCTGTAGTGAGAACCACTTCCTTAAAATAGAACTAAAGTCTGAACAAACATCTTAAAGTTGCAGGCCACAGACAAAGCTGC